TTGTCTGTAGCCCATGCTTTTAGTAACATGCATGTACAACACTAAAATAGAAGCCCGAAGATCAGAGTTTTAGCACCTCTTGTGGGTTTCACATTAAGATTTGGAGGCATATCCCCAAGCGGTTTCCTTTTCTTTCTTTTCTTTTTTAAGATTGATTTATTTGAGAGAGAGAAAGAGAGAGGGTACATGAGCAGGGGGAGGGGTGGAGAGAGAAGGAGAGAGAATCCTTAAGAAGATCCCCCCCAGTGGGGAGCTCGTCGATGCAAGGCTCGATCCCAGGACCCCAAGATCATGACCTGAGTCCAAATCAAGAGTCAGACGCTTAACCGACTGAGCCACCCAGGTGCCCCCCACCAAGCGCAGTTTTCTCATTTGACAGACACTCGCTTGCCCTAGTTACCGCATGGGTCATCGTGAGGCTAGAACTAACAACATGCAAAGTGCTTTGTAAATTGCAAAGAACAAAGAATGGCAGCATTATCACCATTATTAAAAGGATCATGAAGCATAAATGACTGAAGGACCCAAAGTGCAAACAATTTGGGACGATTCAGACACATGTATTTCCCCAGGTGGGTGGTGGTCACTGTGACCACTGTCATACTCTCTGATGCCCTAGGGGCATGGCTGCACACGCAGTTCTACATAACACCACAGTCAACTGGGTAAAACGAAATGCAGACTAGTATAAATGCCCAAATGCACGAGAGGATTTCAGAGATGGACCAGATTGGTAGGGGCTAGAACAACCAAGAAAGGCTTTGTGGAGAGAGAGCGTGTGTTTTGAGGTATGCTCAAAAGGAAGAGAATGGCTTAAGGTAGCTTAGAGCAGGGCAGGGACAATGCTAAGCAAAATCAGAGAGGGAACTCAATTGGATGAGTCATTCCAGCCGGCAGGCAGCGCCAAACACTCTATTCTCATTGTGTTAGATTGTGTTAGATTCTCATGTGTTAGAACATTAAGGCCTCATCAACAGATGCAGGAGGGACAGTGGCCTGGAATAGCCAGGTAAGGACTGTGCACTTTTTCCTCATGACACAGAGTCATCTGAAGAGTTTTAGCTTAGCAGTAAGAGAAGGAGTGAAATTTGGTATTTTAATGAGCTCTATCAGAGAGAATATTGAAGACACGGAAATCAGTAAGAATACCTTTAAAATTCAGTTTTCTAGCAGTGGGTCTATTTAATCGAGCGAAAAGTGAAATGAAATCTCTATCTGCCTATATATGTTTTTTAAAAATTACAAAATTAAAAAGAATGAAAGCAGAACTGCTTTAGGTCAGGAGGCGATGGGGCCCTGGGGACAAGCTCTCAGGTCTGGTGAAGGTACTATAGTGTGATAAGCATCTAAGATAGGATGCTGGAACTGGAAATCCAAAGGAAACCTAGGTAGACATAGTTCCATGAGAGAAGAACAGTTTATCTGATGGCTGAGGCTGAACCAGAGCCAGACGTTCTGGCTGCCAATCCAAAAAAGGCTCTTTCATCTCCATCATCTTGTCTCGGCTGATTTGTATTGACAAGATATGCCAAGGAGAAAATGCAAAATCCAATATACTTAGGAGTCATTTAGAAACTTCTTAGTGCCTTCCCCTTATCTTCTGACACTGAGGTCTTCAAAGAGCATTTAGTCCCATATCCACTCTTTAATCTTATCTCTGAGCAATTAATTGATTGCAAAACTTGTTCTCCAAAGCTCCAGACTTCCTGTTGTTGTCTAAAAGCCCTTTGTAGCGATTTCACACTCAGGAATATTTTAACAATGTCCTCCCAAGATCTGAGTTTCAAAAGAACTTACATTGGGTACAAAGGACCGTAGACTTTGATTTAATTTTACAGGTAGGCAGAGCGGTAGGCACAGGAAGAGGGAGATAAAAGATTTTAAAACATATGGAAAGACACCTATTCAATGAAAAAGATTTATTATCACAAAGCCACATAGGAGATCTCTATGGGCATTTTCAAAGATACTACAAGAGATTTTAGTTATAAAGAAAACAAATGTGGATAAATAGTCGTGATCTTCTTCCATTTGCAAAACAGAGCATACATGTTTGAGTTTCTGGAAAGATCATTTCTGAAATCTGAAATCACAGAATCACAGAGTTCAGAGTTCTCCATAAATGCTCTGGGGAGCATTTCAGGGATTCAAGACTGAATGCTGTTTTTCCTTGCTTTGAAGATTTTTTTTTTTTTTTTTTTAAAGATTTTATTTATTTGACAGAGAGAGACACAGCGAGAGAGGGAACACAAGCAGGGGGAGTGGGAGAGGGAGAAGCAGGCCTCCCGCGGAGCAGGGAGCCCGATGCGGGGCTCGATCCCAGGACCCCGGGACCATGACCTGAGCCGAAGGCAGACGCCCAACGACCGAGCCACCCAGGCGCCCCGAAGATTTTTTTAACTGTATATTCCACAAGCTCCTTTTCATGTCTTATTGTCCAAGAGCAGAGGAATTCCCTTGATACAAATCCAACTATCTTCCTCCTTTAATTTATGTCCATTTTCTCTTGTTCTGTCTTCTGTGAACATGGACAAAACACGTCCAATATCTCTCCTCAAAAGATCTCCATTTACTTGAAGATAGAAGGGAGTTACATACACCTGAATCCCCCAATCTTAAACAATTCCAGATTTTTCACTTTTACTCATAGAATTTTCTTTCCATCTCTTTAATGACTTTAGGTTCCCTTTGGAACCTGGCCCAATTTCTCCATACACTTTATAAAAGGGGACTAACCATGTGGAAGAACGATTTCAATTTGCAGGTGATGCATCTTTTATTAACCTCCATTCTCTACCAAAGCAAATGTTGTAATAAAAATGACATTAAAAATGCATTCTGTATTATAACCAATTGGTCAGAAATTGCCGGTAATTACAATGAAGGTATAATTTAATGAACGTTGCCTGTATCCAAGCACTGAATACTTTGCTGCCAAATCCTGGCAATGACTCTAAGAGGTAGGTGTTGTCATCCCCATTTTTCACAGGAAGGGCCTGGGCTAGATTGTCAGAGATCTTGATTCTGATTCCAGAGCTATGACCTTCTCACAGTGCTATAAAGATACATAATCACAGACTCACGCAAACACATGCATGACATGGACCATGGATGGCTGCTGTAGATCAGGCTTCCCTAGAGCTAGACTCTGAGATGGGGATTGCCACACAGGGATTTTATGGGGGAGGGCTCTTGGGCCTGAACAAAGCAGGACAAGGCAGTAGGAGAAACTGGGCTGTGGGACAGTCACAACAAAAGCCCCAGCCGACCCTACCAGTCCTACAGAGTTGTCCTGAATTGGGGCAAGGGTCTTTGTGTCCCCAAACTGACCAGTCATTGAATGTACAATGCTGCCCCAGGTCAGGTGGTATAACCTTGAAGGAGGCAACTCTCTGTAGCCGAGGCCTAAGGACAACCAGCAAGGAGGGACCCAGCCTTGAGCTCTCAGCTGTCAACACCCCCAGAAGCTGGGGAAAGAGTGTCTCAGTCCTAGAGAGGGCAGGGCACTTGGGTGGCACATCACAGCTCAACTACTGTGAGTGTGTTCCGATCGCCAACTTCGGATACCGGTCTGTGTACCTATTTACAGGTTTGTAAGTAATAGAAATCACATAGCTTTAATGCCAAAGAAATAAGTAAGATTGAGTGGGGATAAAGGACCACAAATACTGCTTTAGCTCATGTGTAGGGAATGAGGAATCTATCTCTATTTCTGGGACTCTGTCCCTTTGCTGTGACACTTTCTCCATGTGATACACACACACTAAAATGGTGAGTCTAAATAAAACATGAAAACTTTGATAGCAAAGAGGGGAAGCAGAAAGGACAGAAAATAATTTGAAATACCGGTAACATAATTATTACCCAAGTGGATGTCACTGTGTTTGAACAGTCCTGGTTGATGAAAATATACATGTCCTCCAAGTGAAAGATGATATAAGGAATGAAAAAACCCTGTCCGTAGTTCTGCACCTTCAATAATTTTTTTATCCTCAATCTTTCCTCACAGATTTTATTTTCTAAATGGCATTAAAAAGACATAATTGCCAGGCGCCTGGGTGCCTCAGTCGTTAAGCGTCTGCCTTCGGCTCAGGTCACGGTCCCAGGGTCCTGGGATCGAGCCCTGCATTGGGCTCCCTGCTCCACGGGAAGCCTGCTTCTCCCTCCCCCACTCCCCCTGCTTGTGTTCCCTCTCTCGCTGTGTCTCCCTCTGTCAAATAAATAAATAAAATCTTTAAAAAAAAAAAAAGACATAATTGCCTGAGGATGGTTCTTGCTTAAAAAACAAAGAAACAGCCCAAATACTTTGGCTATTGATCATGAAGTGGAAGTTGTGTTTCATTTTCCATTTTATAATGAGATCAGAAATGTTTTTAAAGTTTAAAATCAAAAGTATTTATCATTTATTGTTATCTATGTATCCATTACGCAGAAGCTTTTAAAAAGCTAGAAAGCCAACAATGAGCGAGAATGGCTTATCGGGGCATGAATTTGAAATAGATCCCAGGGGATAATGAATCCAGCTTATATGATGGGAAAATGTGAAGAGTCATTAATTCATATTATGCTGCCTTGCTATTCTATTAATGACTGCAAAAATAAATTCTCCAGTCACTGTGCTCATTGTAACATGAGCGGTAAGATATCAGCACAGAAGCTGGAGTTCAAAAAGTTAATAACAAACCTGAATCAAGAATAATTTCCCAAATATGCAAACAACAAAAGGTAGTGAAGAGTGAAAATTCAAATGCAGCAACGTTATCTGATTAGAAATCCATCGTCATTGTCCTCCGCCAAAATGGCCCACAAATTGCTGATGTAGTCTATGACCTCTATAGTGGGACTGAATTTGTATCAAAAGTTGGTGGCTCAGCATTTCCTCTCCCCTTTCTTTTTAAAATCCCACACTACGGAAAGGTGTAGGGTAACACATTTTACTGTTAAATATGATTTGAGCCTCTTGGAAGACTGCCCGTTCAAGTCTCACCATGGCAACTCACCTATGGTTTCCACTTTCTGATAGCAGTGGTTCCCAACAGTCCTCGTCCAGCAGGATTCTGTGTTCAAACCACAGGGTGGAAGGAGGGCTTCAATACTTGGATACGATTTCAAACTCTAAATACTTTTATTTATTTAATTTATTTTGAGAGAGAGTGTGTACCAGCAGGGGAGGGGGGAAGGGGAGGGACTGAGAGAGAGGGAGAAAGAGAATCTTAAGCAGGCTCCAGACCTAGCACGGAGCTCCACGCAGGGCTCGATCTCATTACCCTGAGATCATGACCTGAGCCGAAATCAAGAGTCGGGCGCTTAACCGACTAACCCGCTCAGGTGCCCCCAAACTTTAAATAACGTTTACGTGGCAACCACACAGCTAACATACTCTATGCAGTGCTCTGTTTGCATGCTAAACACTGTTGCATTCCACACCCTGCCCACAGTAAGATAGTTCAGAAGAAGACCCTATGACAGAGCCAAACTACAGTGGAGAAAGGTTGGCGTGCCCTTTCCTAGCCATCCTACCATCCTGTGCTCTTTGTCTGTCCGTCCTTATTCATGCTGTTGTGCTGCCAATGTAGCCAAGCTATGCCCAGGGCGAGCCTATCGATGTCTCCCTATACCGGCCCCCCATCTACCAAATGAAGGGTGGTTCACCTGCTTCCCATATCCATGATATACCATTTCTACTGCCAGCTCCATAAACACAAACTGCCAAGGGCTGCACCTTTGGAGACATGTTAGTTTGTGTCTCTGACGCACAGAACATGAGTGAGACAGAAAAAGAGATGCAGAGACAGGCACAGGGCGAAAAAAGAGAGAGACCAAAACAGGAAGACCTATTTCTTGGGCTCTGCACATCAACGAGTGTAAACTCCTTTTGTTACTGGCAGCTTTCGGGATAAGTGAATCATGTTCTATACACGCACTCTGACGACTTACGGCCCACTGCTTTCACAGCAATGACTGACCACTCTGTGAATTTCAGAGAACAGTTCATTGTCCTTGAGACCACCTACAACTTGCAAGCACGTGCCATCAATCTAAGCTACACCGACTCAGCATTTCCATAAATTCATTTTCTATACATAAAATCCACTGGGTATTGCAATGTATTTGACTAAATCAGAAATACTTTGGGCTTAAAAGAGTTGGTTTTAAAATAATTAATGAGTGTCCTTTTTTTTAATGTGTGAAAGTTGTATTTTATTTAAAAAGGGGAAATGAGGGCGCCTGTGTGGCTCAGTTGGTTAAGCGACTGCCTTCGGCTCAGGTCATGATCCTGGAGTCCCTGGATCGAGTCCTGCATCGGGCTCCCTGCTCGGCAGGGAGTCTACTTCTCCCTCTGACCCTCCCCCCTCTCATGTGCTTGCTCTCTCTCATTCTCTCTCTCTCAAATAAATAAAATCTTTAAAAAAAAAAAAAAAGGGGGAAATGAAACTGGAAACTGGGTTGTTCAGCCAGTACTTGAACTGTGTGTGAATGTGCCTAATACATTATTACTGAAGGTACCTAGTAGGGAGGCACCTGGGTGGCTCAGTCAGTTAAGTGTCTGCCTTCAGCTCAGGTCATGATCCCAGGGTCCCTGCTCAGCGGAGAGTCTGCTTCTCCCTCCTCCCTGCTCTTGTGTGCTCTCTCTCTCTCAAATAAATAAATAAAATCTTAAAAAAAAAAAAAATGAGAGTACCTAGTAGGGAAAAATTGGCTGGATGACGGATGTTGAGATGATGGTCCTTTTTTAACTAGACCTGAAACATGGGTGGTTTTGATTCTCTACTGATCCTTCATTTCAATAGTGGAACCAGCTTAGAGAAAACAAAAACAAAAGCCACGTTAAAAAAGTTTAAAATTACCAAAATTAAACATAAAACGTTCATCAGGGCCTAAAATAAGAAAGCAAAATCTGCTTGTTGAATGGAGAGCAACTGGCCAAGGCAAATGCCATCAGTATGAACGGATTGACTTAATTCAATTTCTTATTACTTTAAGACATATTAGGTAACCCCACAGTGCTCTAAAAATGTGGAATAAAAGAAAATGAGTAGGTGGAAGGGGCAGCCTGAGTTTCAACAGACCAGGGCTCTGACTCCAGCTGTTAGCATTAGGTCAGTTACTTAATTTTGCTTCAAATTAATATTCTTTTGTGTAAAAGTGAAAGTGATAGATTAGTGGATCTGTAAAGTTTCTGGAAAGATGGTAGAGAAATGGACTAGAAAGAGTAAAAAGGGAGCATTTTGTGATTTTCCAACAGGTCTTAAGGAAAAAAAGTCAGTAAGCTAATTAAGGCCATAGTAATCAAATAAAATTCACTCAAAATAGTACGATTGTCCGTATTATTTGAATTTAAAATTTTTACCCATGACATTCCCTCAGAGAAGGCTCTGAGTAATGTCTAAGTGGGGTAGACTGCTCTGAAACAGTGAAGCCTCTGTTATAACAGCTCCTTTCATGACGTGCTGAGTGATGCTGGAAAAACCCAAAGGAGGGACCCTGACACACCCTGGAGAATGCAGGAAAAATCCTGTTCGATCTCCTGTGGGCAACGCTCATATCCTGGGCAGAGCAATGAAAATGATGACTAGGTAAGAAACCAGGAGATAAACAGAAAAAGAATTACCCTTTGAAAAACAAAGCATGTTCCTTACATAATTTCTGTAAATACTGTGAATTCAAATGAAGAATGGCACAGGCTTATACGTCCGAAATCTTAGGGTTTTCATTGTTTTTTTAAAGACTGACTTAAACTTCCTTTCATCAAACTAAAAAAGTCCCCACATTTGTCCCTAGGAAAAGATCCTTATTTATTTATTTATTGAGAGAGAGAGCATGCACGCTCATGGTGCATGAGCATGGTTGGGGAGGAGCAGAGGGAGAGGGAGAGGGAGAATCTCAAGCAGACTCCCTGTTGAGTGTAAAGCCCAACACAGGGCTCGATCCCAGGACCCTGAGATCATGACCTGAGCCAAAACCAAGAGTCAGAGGGCTCAACCAACTGAGCCACTCAGGGACTCCCTAATTTATTAGACTAAGAAAATAAGAACAACAAATACAGATATGAATGAAATGATAGGTCATGTCAAAATGAAATGGAAATTGAGGGACACCTGGGTGGCTCAGTCGGTTAAGCGTCTGCCTTCAGCTCAGGTCATGATCCCAGGGTCCTGGGATCGAGTCCCGCAT